GGACTCAGCGCCTGGGACCAATCAGATAAGACGCAAAGCACGTCTCGGCGCACATAACTAGTTCCCGCCTTGGGCAGGGAAGAAAAAAACAAGGTTGGCGCCAAACTCCCGTAGTTTTCTGCGGGTGTTAAGAGAAAGGGGCGGGGCGGAAGGCGGCGAGGACGGCGACGGGGCGGGTCCTAGGTGCGGAAGGGGCGTGGCCTGAGCGGAAGAGGGGCGGGGCCTGGGGGAGCTCATTAACGAAAGAGAAAGTAAACTCTGGAAAGTCTATCATTTATTTAATCCTTTACTCTTTAAGTTCTGTTGCGTGTCAGCTGCGTGCTAGACAGAGTTCTAGGCTCGATGACGATGAATAAACTTGTTCCCTGTCCTCAGGCTTTCTTGGATGATAGGCAGACCACCTAGCTCAGGCTGTTGGGAGCTGCGAGGATGGGATACTGGTCTAGTGGGCTGGGAGAGAGGAGAGCTTTTTAGGGGTGGAATCCCTGAATTGTCTTCTAGCAACCAAGGGTACCGGTACGTCCAGCCTCAGGGCTGCGGCCTGAGCCACTGATAGGCCGGGAAGTAAAACAAAGCCATCTTCCTCCACTCCTTCCAGAGTTGGCCTCTACCCCCTCCTCCCCATGCCCTCCCCCGCTTCTCTCTCCTGCCTCGGCATCAAGTGATCCTCCGGCCTCCCAAAATGGCTGGGATTACAGACATGAGGCTCAATCGGCCTCTTTTGATCCCTACCCCCTCATTTCCTTTGCTTTGTCCATTTCATCCTAAACAAGTGTCATATCAACTTATTACTTTTTTTATATTAGAAAGTATAGTTTATTTGGAAAGTACATTAGAAAGAGGAGAGGAGAGAGGAGATAGAGAGAGATTCACCAACCCAAGGTAGAGGAGGGGGCCAAAGCTTAGGAAAACATGGCCTGGCCATAGGTCAAAAAACCTATGACCAGACGTAGTTTAGCAAGGCAATGGCTACTTTTTTTGTTTGTTTTTTCAAGCCGGGGTCTCACACTGTCACTCAGGCTGGAGGGCAGTGGCATGCTAACAGCCATCACAGCCTCAATCTGCTGGGCTCAGACAATCCTTACACCTCACGCATCCAAGTAGCAGGAACTACCCGTGCGTGCCACCACAACCAGCTAATTTTTACAAATTTATTGTAGAGAAGGTCTCTCCAAGTTGTCCAGGCTGTTCTTGAATTCCTGGGCTCAAGCAAATCTCTCACCTCTGCCGACCAAAGTGCTAGGATTACTGGTGTCAATCACTATGCCTGGCCTACATGTTTTTAAGTTTTCGCAAAGGCCCCCATTTTGGGGAATTATGTTCTAGGAGAGCACTACTTCCTAGATTCTCCCCCCTCCCTAGTTCACTTTTCTTTTTTTTTTTTTTTTTTTT